AAGCCAAAATATGTGGCAGTAAACATCGCTGTAGAGGACATACTCGTAAAAAACGCCCAACCATCTTGTGCAGATAATGTAGTCGTAACTGGCCATGTGTAAGGGAATGCTGCTGAAGTAGAACATGTTTGTATCATTCCCAATGAAGTGGATAACTGCCACTTCTGACGATATATAAGAGAATAATGTTGAGTATTGTTTCTGGCAATATTGACTCCATTGCAGCAATCAGTAGAAAATATGGACTGTACATCCGACATCAGAAATGTGCGTTGCAAACCCTTGCTAATGTGAATCCGCACACATTATTGGTTTTACCACCATATAAATTCATCCCTCAACAATATTACAATTATAACATTTTCAATTTAATTTTGCTCTTTCCTGTCCATCTCAATTCTCTGTAGAATTGATAAGGATCTTAAGCAAGTGTAGTACCATAAATCATCCATACAAAAGATAGAATAATTTTACACGTAAACTCTACATATAATTAGATAAAATTATACTACTATTAGTAATACTTCTCGTCCAATTGAATGAGATGTATACAAAAACTGTCTGGTAATATCGTGATCGCAAAAACAACTAATAATTAATTTGGAAAGACAGTGAGGGATGGGTTGGCATCTTTGTTTCACCATCTCACAATCACACCGGACCCATATTTTCATCATCCATAACAATTCATGAGATTGCTGAAAGCTCCTTTTATTTTTTCTCTTTCTCTCTCCTTTCCCTTGGTTTTTATACATGGAAATTTAAGATGTTTTTCTTACTTGTACTACTGTTTTTTCCCCTTGTAAGGAAGAAAGTCTTTTCAAAAAAAAGTAAAGGGAGAGGAACAAAGGGCCAAACAAGAGATATCAAAAAGCCATGATATGATATACTTTCACCCTTCATCTTCTCCTATTTTGGAATGTCTTTTGATATATGATTTTTCAATAAAGTCAGAGTCTTTGCAAGTTGGAGCAGACAGTGGACAAAATGTTTAGTGCATTTTTTCTGTTGGTTGCCCTCCTCTTTCTGATGAGTCCACTCCAGCTGGTCCACATTTTCCCCTAAAAAAAACAAGTAACATCCTTTGAACTGTTTTGGTTATTGCATTGAAAATAATTTCAAAGTTATGTAAAATTAGATGAATTTTGAATGGTATAAGATTTGGGGATTGAGATGTGATATTCACCCTGTACATAAACAGAATCCAAGCAGTGGAACACATACCAATTGCAATTTGCAGCTCCACTAAAATGGCATCCAAATGCTCCTCAATTTTCAAGATGCTTCTTTATGGAATAATCACACGCGCAAATCTTTAAATCTGCAATTTGACCCAAAAATAGTTTTGATGAACACTGAAATTTGGACTGAAATGGAAGGTTACTGTGAAAAATGAATATCGTGCTACATGGTCAAGGATATCAAAGAACTCAATCATGTGCTGAAGAATGTAGGTCAATATTCCCCGAGTGGGGTTGAAATTTGTCAATCAAATGGTTGAATATTTTCCAAGGAAAATCGAAGACCCCAAACAAAATTGAGGAACATATACCCTTCTTTTTATGTTTTTCCTCTTCTTGGTATTTTGACTATAACCAGAGAAAGAAGGGTGTGATGGAGATAAGATATATGAGTGCTACTGCTACTAAGATTTTAAGAATCAGAAAACATAAACAAAATACAAATGGGACAGAACAAAGTTTCTTTGAGAAAAAGGAGAAAATAAGATTGAGATTGAAGCAGACAAAAAGGATTCAATCATGATAGAAAAAGCAGACAAGGAACCTACATCATGACCCCATTATCATTTGTCACCTTGTGTATTTTGTCATTAAGAGATATATATAAAAACGATGGATCAACTTACAGAGCATGATCTTTCTAGAATTTTTCTCCTCTTTTTTTTTCTTTTTCTCCTTCAAAGATTCTAAATTTATCCTCAAGAGAGACCTAATCTCTGATTTTCTACTTTTCAACTACGCTGATTCAACCATAATACTTTGAAATGATAAAAGAATTATTCAACCTAAGGTTCTAATTTCTTCTAAACAAGAAAGAAGCCTCTTTTCAAAGAATAAGAACAAAGAATCAAACCGGGTATTGTGGCTCAATAGTTCCAGCTTTCCAAGCCTTAAAACTCAGTGATATAGACCATCACTATTGTACTTCATCCCCTTACCCCAAATTCCCCTAAAAAATTAAAGAATACGATCGAAGTATTAAATATGGATGGATTATTCCAAAATAAAAATGAAAAACTTCTGTAATTGGGTTGCCTTCATTTATGTCAAACTTCAAATTCAAACTCGAAGAGTTGATGGATCAAAGGACCAAATGTACAAAAGGATCAGAATCCAAGCTCTAATTGAAAATAACAACTATACAGGTAGCCAATTTTGCAAAATTACAGTCTATTATATTCTCTTATCTCTTCCTCTCTCTTTTATATTCTCCTTTGTGAAGTTTCAATCAACAACATGAAAAGATCGGTGTTACCAAAAAGAAAAAAAGAGAGGATTTAAAAAAAAGTAACGAAAAGATGGTTCTTTTGGTTACTTTTTATTTTATTATTATTATTTTTTACACCTTCTGATTAGGGTCTTCACGTTCTGCGAATTCTCTGTGGATTTCACCGTCCTTTGTGCCAAAAGAGCCGTCCCCTTCAGCATCATAGCTAGCATGAACACTGTACAAGACGTAAACAAGCACTGCCAGAGCTGAGAAAAATCCAAACCGCACATAGGACGGTCCATCAAGAGCCCCCAGCAAAAATATGTTCAAAAAGATTGATATAGATGGTATCCATGGCATTAATGGGACCCCCCAGAATTCGGGTTTTCGAGCTTGTGGCACCATGCAATGGAAGGTCTGTAATATTGCAACTGCAATGACTATGCAAGCACCAAGTATTAAGACTTTATGATTTCCTGGGGGGGCAAAATGCCACAAAAGCGTGAACATAATGGATGTAAAGGAAAATAGGCAGAGGAAGGATAATGTAGGCCATGGCTTTGTCGTCCCCACCACCACATAACGTCTATAAATTACAGCATTTGCCACCATGTAAAACACGAAGAGAGTACCGATGGAAACCAGGTTTAGGAGGACGTTAAGATCAGTGAAAATGGCAATTGCAGCCGTGAAGATTCCTGTGAATAAAAGGGTAAACGATTAGTGAGCAACTTGCGTAAGGAAGTGAAAATGTCAATCAATTCCATAGCGATTTCAGATACACTCAATCCCAAAAAATGGATAAGTCAAGGGATACCGTAGAGCTTAGGTGTCTTAAAAGATATAATTGCAAACCCATTCAAGGTAGTTGAACTGCCTATTAACCACATAAATCCAAGTCATGAACCCTATCATTTGTTTGAGAGTAACTTTCACTGGTGACCCTGTGAAGAAAGGTCATTTTCAGTGATGGCCCCCATTTCAAGTGCTCTATCTCCACATTTAATGGGTTTTTTCTGGGAAAAAATCTCCACATGTAATGGTGATAACACCAATACAGACCAAAATACGCTGCACATACACAGTGTAATTAAAAAATTTTAAGACTAATAACTTAAAAACGATGAATTGTCCAACTGCCCTTCAAAAGAAAAATCAATAAAATCAATATGTAAATAAAAGGGTTTCAAAGAAATTCTCAAATTCTCAAAAGTATATTGCTTATCATGTGCATTTCTCGCTTATCATGTGCATTCTCTTCCTAGGTCATTACAGTCTTTCTAGTCACATGCCGCCTACTTGCAATCTGCAAAGCCTACCTAATTTTTCAGGTAAAAACAAAAAAAAAAAAAAAAAAAAAAACCACTTTTCATTTTTCCTATAAAAAACATATATAAATATTACCTGCTCCTCTCTTCCCTTTTTTCTTGTTTACTTTACTGATAAATTGGTTTTCTTCCTAAACGTGTCAATATTAACAATTAATAACAAACTCAAATTGGAGGGAGTGAACTAATTGCTCCTAATAGGACTTACTCCCTTCATTTAAAAATAATTATTGTTTTTTTAACACAATTTATCTTTAATTAATTAATTTTTTTAAAAGTAGACAAATAATTTTTTCTTATTCTAACCTTATTATTATTTAACTTTAAGTATTCATTTTATTATTAAATTTTTTATATATCTTTATATTTTTCTTAAAAGTAACATAAATTATTCATAAATTCTTACTTTGTAAAAAAAGTTAAAAAACAGAACAGAGCAGAGACTAATTTCAAAAACTTGGATCCATGATGAAAGTCAGAAATTCAAGTTTAAGCACTAACTTAGTTTGATGGAACAAAAGATAATATAAAAAATTATTTTATACAAGGATTTTATATAATTT